CACCTATACTCATACTCCTATACTCACTTTGAGTATCGGTTTCCGTTTCAATAAAAATTAAAGGGCTTTTTATGCAACAAAACTAATCTGAATATATGTACGTATATAAATATTTGCTTTTGGCCCAACCTCCAGTTTGGCTCGAAAATAATTGGTCAGGGCAACAAAAATTATTTGCCCGTAACAGCACAAATGCGCGCGTAACAGGGCAGACTATGCTGTTAACATGCGCATAACAGAACAGATAGGAAAAGACAGCTGATTCCCGCCACTTTTAATTCAAAATTTAAGTGCAACATATTCACTTTCACCAATAGAAGTTTAATTTTCCTCAGACATGATAAATGCACAGGTGTTGCATCTAAGATGTCTTGATCTTCTTAAATCGCGCACTTTCTGCCGTCGTTTTGCTGGACATGCAAAACGAAAGAGTAAGTGAAAATGGGAGCCTGCTGAAAACTTTAATATGTACAAATATCTCACAATCAGGAAATTTTTGTTTTGTGAACACTCAGTTCTGTGCTTTTGCGAACCGCGATACCGAACGACATATAAAATATGTTGTATAAATTACATAAATCATAGGCTCGCATATGTATTGACTGAGTACCATGTATAAACTAGAGCCGAGGCCCTTGACTCTGCGCACAAAGTTCTTACTAGTTTTTTTTATATCCTTCAGTTGTAACGTAACCTATGTATATTAATCTTTTATGTATTTTTTCTTGATGCATGCCAAAGATAGACCTCGACCTAAACAGCCTGTGCCCGCGTGTTCCGCCTTACCCAAAGGCCGCCTTACCTCAATAACATACAAAAGAATGTGGAGCTCTGATGCAATTCGAGCATAGAATCTCGCAGTGCGAGGGGAAGCTATTGGGTGATTCCAAAAAGTTCAGCGTTTCCACGGATACACACTGGCTTGAGCACATATCATCGCTGTTTTTATTTTGAATCACTCAAACTGTGTCGCAAAACAGAGCGTATTGACCATGAGTGGAAAAGCAATGAGTAAAAATAAGCCCGTATGATTGAATTCATGTGGAGGAGTGGTCGGCACAGAGTTCGCAGAGAGTTCGCAGAGCCGAAGAACTCTTCGGCTGGGAACTCTCACGCTTCGCTCTTTTCGGGTCGAGTCAGTCAGCAGTATGCGAGTAAACCGGTTCTCACATTATTCTATATTATTTTATTATATTCCTGAGTCTCGGTATACACATATGTATGCATGGTAATACAGTGGCGGAGAGTAGAATGTGGACACTCTTGCAAACTAACTTTAAAATGATGGGGCTATTTAAAAAACGGATGTGATATAGTCCGAAATTTTTATTTTAGATTCATTCATTAGATTCATAAGCTATTAATTAACTTTATGTTTTGATGTCATAATGTTAGAGGGGTAAACAAACCAAGAAACATAAAAATGTTGAAAATTACGAAATCGGATATGACGGCCATATTGGCTTCATGCTCTCAAAATTTAAGCCTTGAGCTTAAGGACGACCGTCTCGGCCGTCGGGCATCAAAGAAATCACTTTTTAGCCTAATAATCAGATGAGAAAAATTTTCCATTGATCGAATCAGGGATGATATTCGTATGGAAACGATGGGGTTGCATGCCTATTTTTCGTTCAATGGGAAATTTTGCCGCATTTTGCAGACTACTCAGTTCAGCAAAATAAATAAAAGATAATACTGGAAAGGTATCCGGAACTGGAAAAGGGAAGCAAGCGAGAACGTGCCAGCCGGCTAGATGGCAATAATGGAGACAAATTTATTCTCATTTAATGAGTTTTTTTTTGACTGTCCACATTTCACTGTTCGCCACTGTATGTAGGGCCATGGGAATGTATTTGGCGGTGCAGCATAGGCTAGAAGTTGCCGGCCACAGTGAAGCCCCACAGAGTGGTCCTCAGAGACGGTGCACACGTACAGAGTGTGATGCAGGGGTAGACGAGGCACAGTGGGTTCTTATTGCAGGCAGACAGATTTGTATTAAAGCAGTGGTCGGCTCGCATACATGAACATGCAGTGCTTTGGTGTGCGTGGACAGCAGGCTTCAACCACTGCACCCATAACCGTAATCACAGCACAGATCACGGAACGGAATGGGAAGAATAGACAAAGCAGACACAAAAAAGGCAAACAAGGGAAAAGGGTGCATACGTTGTGAAGCAGCTGTTGCTCTCCGATCACTACCTGGCGTAATCAGACGACAACGGCAAACCTGCTTCCATGCCTCGAAAATATGCTGAAAGAGAAATGCCAGTGAATAGCAGGTAGCGCAAGAGAGTGCGGATTTTTCGAAGATTCCAAATCTCCTAGCTGGTCTTTTCAACCCATCAAATGGAAGTTATCGTTCCTGTAAAAGGCGCGTGTGACAACGGTTACGTCGTCATATGTACGAACATACCACCATACCATACACAACGAAACCACCCGCAAGATCTTTTCACCACCAAGCACATCAGACTTACCTTGGAACCGGTATCCATAACCTGGCTGCACTTCTTCTGTGAGAGGCAGCACTGCAGACAGTCTAAAAAGTGACAACCACATATGCGGACAACTCCGCTTCTTTTTCCCGATATGCACAATTTCACAATAAACAATGAAATAAAAAAACACCTGCAGTATTCTGCTGGCAGCGACGCGCGCAACCGAAACAAGCACAGACGTGCTGCTGCTGCGTGACGGCACGCAATAAAGTTGCGTGTGCAAGTATGAGGGTGTGGGAAACTCAAAATTTAATCACAAAAAAATAACACAAAAAAAAGAAATAGATGCAACGCAGAGAGCACACAAAATGTTGAGAAAAAATACCGGATCGATAAGCTGGGCTTGACGATATGAAACATATTGAAACAATCATATTTAATATCAATGAAACCACTTTTCTAAATTTCTAAAAAATTCGACCTTACTTTCTGCTGTTTCCATTGCCACGGCGGCCAAGACGGATCATTTCTAGTAGAAATTTTTACAACCCGACGATCACTGGCTTATTCAGATATACCCGCGACTTTTGATTATGTGTCTTATCGATTCACAGGGTTGTTGAAAAAAACTATCGATATTTTTGTGCGATAAGCGGGACCTCATACCATCGAATGTTCCAACAGATTATTCTGAGACAGCTCCCAGTGATATTCGGCTCTGGGAGTTCTCAGTTCAGCTCTGTTCGCCCCGAGCCGCGTCTGGTGGAACTCAGCAATGCATTTGAATTTAAGCGTGGCAACCGGTTCTCACACATTTTAGCCATAAGCTTGGTACTCAAAACAGCAAAATTTTCCATCAGCTCAGCAGTTTAGCTGAATAGAGAAATATTTGATACATTTAACATTTTTACATATACGTTTCCATAAGAATATTATACATGATTCGATCGGTGGAAAATTTTGCTGATCTAAGTATGTTCTAGTTTTTACGTCGCACCTTGAATACCTTAATAAACAATTTTTCTAATGTGACCTCTGTCGCATGGGACATCTTGCACAGGACTAAAACGTCTTGGGTTAATAAAAGCTAACAAATATACCATTAACCAATATTGAGTAAATTCTGGAATTTTTTTAGTTAGTTCAATATGTTAAATAGATTTTGAGAAGAAACTTTCATCAAAAATCATCTAGAAGAAAATAGTAACCGAAAACTTGACCATAAAAATACCGAACAAGTGAACTTGTGCTTATTGTAATAGGTTTTTAGATCAAAGCTAACGAAATTTTATTTCAATTGGTTAAATTAATTAATTTTCAATCAATTTAGAAAATAACATCAGAACAAAGGTACATGCAAATTTTTTTATTTTAGCTTTTAGATATTTGGTCTGTGGAAACCTTAGCATGGAAATGGAAATACCCATACACAAAATAACAGTTCTTCTGATATTGTGTGGCAAGCTTTACATTTATGTACACATAATAAGTGTGATACATACATTTATACCTTGAGCAATACACACAATGAAAAAATGAATACAATCCTAAATATATCACAAATTCTGTGTGTTACACAGTCATTCAAATGCGCTGCTGACTGGCTGGCTCATGGCTGAACGCTGGGAGTGTACGCAGCAAATTCGTTTGCGACATGATCGGGTTGTAAACTGGGACAATTATATACTGCATGGTTAGTGGTTCCATAAAATACCGATTACTACGAGAAAAGCAGCCGATGGTATTTTTTGGTATCCTGCTAGGCTTGAGCGGAATATATAAATGTAATACACCTAATTCTGTTTTTACACGGTTTGAAAATCAAACATTCTAAATTTTGTTCACGATTTTATTTCATTCAACACGGTTCAAAATAATCCAACACAAATAGATAAAAACACAAACAGCTAGAAACCACACGAAAACAAGAAAGAGCATAAAGCGAATATGTACATGCATATTTGATTCTCTTTAGTTTTTTTTCGTATACATATATACATGCAAGCAAATTTACTGGTCAGAGAAATTGACCGCTGTGTGGAAATTTAATAGGATTTATTAATTATTCTATTAATTATTATATTAACACATTTATTTTCAATAGAAATGTGTTAGTATTTTGTGAACTGTATTATTTATGCGCAAATTTAATAGGTTTTAGAGACAAGGAACCAATCAACTATTTTTGCATACGATCAACGTCTATTTTTACGCGGTTTTTTCAGGAACCAATCTACCGTGTTAAAACAGAATTAGGTGTACATATACATACACATGTACATAATAGTGCAAAGTAAGGCTATTTATCTGATTTTTACATGAATTCTACACCTACCAAGGCGGCTCCATCTGTTGGTGGTCCATGCAGAATACCGACTCGATATATCGATTAAACGGTGACTGAATTTCCTAATGCGTTTGACTCTGCGGTTAGTTCTGTGTGCGGTTTCTTTTGGCCTTCAAAGTTCGGTCACTCTTCCCGCCATATGTACTTCTTTGTACACAAAGTGTTTCATCTTTGGCTATAAAGACATTATCATATAACTATAAAGGACTAATTCGTAACCAAAACTAATAGATGTCATAGACAAACTTATTTTTTCAACTATAATATCAATCTTTGGTAAGCATGGAAAAATAATTTTTCTTACACTTCAGAATATGGAAATTCACGCTTTTGACTTCAAACACTCCATACAACTTTCCTTATTATTCCTAGAAAAAAATGGCGGATAGCGATGATGATAGTGTAGCGTCCTTTAAGACGGCTGAGGAGATCAGCCCGTCGCGTGAGAAAACAATTTTTCCTCTAATGAGCCACGAGTTGAGCTCTCTGGAAAGGAAGCTTAATCGAATCGTATACATACAGCAGGCAGACGCGGCTTATCACAAAGCACTTAACGATATGCGAGATCAGTTGAGCATATCAGTGATTGCGGAGCCTAGTTTATATGGACGCCACAGACCCGTAGCGGTGCTAGTGGTGGCCACGGCCAATCAGACATATGTGTTCGATATCCAGGCACTGGGCGCCTTTTTTCCCGAGTTGAAAAAGCTGCTGGAGGCTAAATATCCGAGAAAAGTGGTGCACTATAGTCATCGTATTTCCGATCAGCTGTTCTATAAGCACCAAATTAAACTGACTGGATTCAGCGACACATTTGTGGCTCTGTGCGTAGCCCGGCAAGATAAAAGTGCCTGCTCATTGCCAGAAGCGATTTCGTCAGTGCTTAATATTCCTCTAAGGGAACTGCTCTGCGACGAGGTCACCGGGGTAAGTGCCATACCAAAAGGGAAATTCGTTATCCGTTAATTATCCGATTCCTCACTGCAGGTAAGTGAGTCTCGCCAACTTTTCACAGCACGCCCATTGAGCGGGGACCAGTTTCGTTTTCTGGGCAGGATGGCCATACTGCAGCACCAAATGCACGACCGGCTGACCTTTGGCCACATTTGTGCAGGGATGCAACGCATGTCTGCTACATTTAGTCAAAGCTTCTGCCGTTTCCGAAATGGGTACGATGTGGCACCTTATATGGGTCCCAAAAGCCGATTTGGCTTCCAATACATCGATACGTACTACAAGTCAGCCGTAGGCTCTCTGCCGGTGGACTATGAAATTGATCATGCAGAAAAATAAGCAATTAATCAAATTTTCCTTGAAGAAATAGAATCCCTGAACTGAAAAAGAGAAAGAAGAGACCTGAATTTCAGCATTAAGAAATACATCCATGAAATACATATAAAATAGTTATCATACCTTCCGAACATAGATCTAATTTGATTTATTGATCTAATTTGACCGTTGAATGAAATCATTAATACAATACAACTGCCGTAGGCAATACAAATTATCATTAGTTTCACACAATTTCTTTTGTTTCCTTAACAGTTGTATTATTATAGTATATTAAAATATTATTAATAATAAATAAAACAAGGCATCCACAATGATCAGGCCATCGTCAAAACGGGAATCAGGAAGACTTTTGAAGGCGATTTCAGAGAAGTTTGATACTGAGGAATACATTGATGATGATTCGACTGGAAAATTTGAATGACATGTACTCATGGAACTTTAGAACCAAGATAACAAATAGTTACTGGAAGTTATTCGGCTACTTCTAAGAGAAGCGGAAAACGACTTGAACATGTGAATACCCCTGATGAAAGATGACTGACATACAATTTCTCTGAATATAAGTATAACATGTAACTTCTTAAGTATGCTACTGCCCGTGTTCCATTACACTTCATAAAGTCAGTAGGTAGAAAGGGGATAAACGCAGTGCAAAAATAAATTCAAGTATAGAAATTAAATCGAGCCTTTTGCTAACAGAGCTCTGTTACCTCTACAGAGGTACCAAAAGACAGAGAGAGAGAGAGAACATACGGCTGTAATCTGCTCCATACAGTATATACGAGGGTGGTCTGATAGGTACATAGCCTCACCGTTCTTCATCATTCTTTTAGACGGCTACTGTTAAAATTTCATCCAAATCAAACTCATGATATTTTTTTTTTTTTCACCACGTGTGGAAGCGGGCTTGTCTGCTGATTTTATAAAAATGGAAAAATAGCAATATCGGTCGGTGTTTCGATTCTTATTTTTGGAACGGAAATCGCGCAGCGAAATCAAAGAGCGCTGGGATGCTTTGTACGGTGACTCGTCTCCTTCGATGGCGACCGTCAAAAATTAGTTTAGCGAGTTTAGCGATGAGCCTCGTCCAGGGGCCCCGAAAATGGCTACCTCGGAGGAAAACGTAACAAAAATCCACGATCTCGTATTGGCAGATCGCCGATCTCAAGGCATCTCAAAAGAACGCGGGGGTCATATCCTGCATGAAATTTTGGACGTGAGAAAGCTGGGCAAAACGATCAGAGCGTTCTACTGTACCGAATAATATAATATAAATATAATATAAAAATATTATATAAAATATAATATAAAGCTCTAGCTTTTATAGTCTTTGAGCACTAGGAGCTGATGGGGACGGTCAGACGGACAGACGGACGGACGGACAGACGGACAGACAGACATGGCTCAATCGACTCGGCTATTGATGCTGATCAAGAATATATATACTTTATGGGGTCGGAAACGATTCCTTCTGGACGTTACACACATCCACTTTTACCACAAATCTAATATACCCCAATACTCATTTTGAGTATCGGGTATAAAAACAATTTCTGGACTATAGCGGTGGAGGGTGGTGGGTGGTCCTTGGGGGTGGTGTGTTGCAAGAACAAGTACAAGTATACAAGTATATGTACAAAATTTAAAAGCTCTAGCTTTAATTTCGAGCTCTGTGTTAAACAAATCTGAGGTGCTGGCTATATCATGCTGGGGAAGGGGGGTGATGGTGGTCGAATCTAAAAAAAAAAACCGAAAGTTTATAAAAATATTCAAAATAATTGTGCAAAGTTTCAAGGCTCTAGCTTTAAAACTAGACTTTATGCCAAAAAAAAACGACGTCTGGACCATAGTGCTCTGGCTCAGTGTCATTTTTATTTTCCTTGGAATAACGTTTGTTTTTTTTTTACATTTAATAGCAATGCGGTATTTAACGGTAAAATGGCATTTTCGAAGGTACCGAACGATGTTTAACGGTCAAATGCGGTTTTAGGCGGTTTTCCATAGAGTTTTACAAGCAATACCTTAAACGACGCCAAATAAATGTACCTATACAAAATAGGAAAGCACAAGAACCATTTTTTTGTTCTTTCAACTTTGTTTTCCTTAGATTTTAAAGGCAAAGTTTTGAATAGACGACTCATACTGAGCGGGTCCGTTCAAGACTGGCATACACCAGGATTAACGAAAAGTTTCCTATCTGCTGGTAGAGTCAAGGCGCGTTATCACAGGCAACAAAGCCCAAAGAAATAAGGACGCCATTGAGTTTAGAATTCCATTCCCTTTCTGACTGCTTCAATCCACATATTTCCTTTCTCAGCAGCAAAGCCTTAGCTGGATGAGCTCCATCAATGTAAACCTGCGGTTTTTTCATGTTCACTGTATTTCTCAGGTCACTGTACAGGTATGTCGTGCATATGTACATCCAGCGGCGTGTCGAGAAAAGTTTGCACCTAGGGAAAAATATATTTGTTCCATAATTAAAGAATCTGTTAGAAAAAACTCGTTCGACAAAAAATTGAGACTGTTAAGTCTCTTCTATCCCATTGAAGATCTTAAGTAATTCCTAACTAACTTTAGATTGCTAAATGAACGCTCTGCTGATGCAACAGGAATGGTTAAAAATATACTTTAAGCAATTTAGATATTTTTGTAATTGAATGAATGTATTAAAGAATTTCAAAATGATCAATTTTTTCAAAGTTTTTTGTTTTTACTTTACTTGACACTTTTCCTGGACTTGGTTCAGTAGCATTTTCTCGCTAAATTCATTGCATGCTTTTCAAGTTCATTGTCAGATTTGGATATTATGTTAAAGCCTGTTGAAAAATCAAAATCATGTGGGTTTCTTTATTTATTTGATAGCTAATAGCTAATTGTTACTTAATGTTTGGTAAATTTGGGATAAATATGTCTTTTTTCTTTTACGTTCCCGTCGTGGGTTTTTCGTCTTTCGTTCACCGTTGTCGTTTTATTTATGGGCTGGCCTCTTCGCAAAGTTTTAGCCTATTTAAGGCTAGATCTAGCTTTTTTGATTCTTATGGCCTTAAATCTAGCCTTTTATTAATTTTACTTGTCCCTTGTACTTAGTCCCTTGGGAAAGTACAGATGACGCTTTAAAGTTTTGGTCAGAAGTACTGACTTATAAAGATGCTGGCAAAAACAAACCTTTTGATGAAATCGCTTTATTACCCATTGTAATTTTAAGTCCACCGTGGTCAAATGCTGTGATTGAACGGGTATTCAGTCTAATGAATATCGTTAAGACCAAACTTGGGATTCGAGTAATAGCGAATGAGATGAAATAAAGATAATAAAAATAATTATAATATCTATATATCTATGTATGTGCTGTTTTATTTGTAGCCTATTTTTATACCCGATACTCAAAATGAGTATTGGGGTATGTTAGATTTGTGGTGAAAATGGATGTGTGTAACGTCCAGAAGGAATCGTTTCCGACCCCATAAAGTATATACATATATTCTTGATCAGCATCAATAGCCGAGTCGATTGAGCCCTGTCTGTCTGTCCGTCCACTTCAGCGCCTAATGCTCAAAGACTATAAGAGCTAGAGCAACGATGTTCTGGATCCAGACTTCTGTGATATGTCACTGCTACAAAAATAGCAAGGGTTTTCGTCCTTTGTGGGGGCGGAAGGGGGAAATTTTGAGATATACGTTTTATAGTGAGATCTAACAGGAGTGCGGATACTAAATTTGGTTACTCTAGCGTTAATAGTCTCTGAGATTTGTGGATACCCCCAGATTTTCGTCCTTTGCGGGGGCGGAAGGGGGTGTGGCGAAATTTTAAAACAAACTCGTCAAGGTCCAATATCTTAGTAGTTTGGATCAATAATTTGGTTGCTCTAGCTCTTATAGTCTCTGAGATCTAGGCGCTAATGTTTTACTCATTTTGAGTATCGGGTATAAAAAGTGAGCTCATATGTAGATCTCAGAGACTATAAGAGCTAGAGCAAACAAATTTGGTATCCACACTGCTGTGTACTTCAAAATTTCGACCCACCCACCACCCGACCGACCTATCATTATTATAACCAAAAGGAACAAATCGACGAAAAGTTCTGATTGATTTTTCGTCTCTCCCGCAGACACTTTTTGTCGCTCAATGTACGCGCCGTCTGCCGGGGGAGAGCCATTCTGACTACATATGTATCGGGTATAAACATAACATATGTACATACATACATAGCTCGCAAAGAACTGTTGACTGTTTTTTCCTTACGGTCTCCTCGCGAGAATAACCGAACAAAAAGCATGCACGCACAAAGAGAGATACGAATGACGCTCGCACAGAGAGACTCACTAAAAGACCGATTGGCTGAAAAAGTCCACGCAAACGGTCTTTTCAATAAGTTGTCTTTTTGTATGCACAGTGGTACCTTGTGTCACATATTTTGATTAATTTTCCTTTCTTACGGATACGAAACTCATAAAGTTCCTTGATGTGTTTGGGTTCATACCAAGGGCATTGTTAAGACCTTAAAAGAAAAGTCTAGACATTTGCGAGTTGAGTTGTAAATTCAAACTAAATTGTATTCTTAAAATCAGAGCTTTATATGTGATTTGACAATGAGGTGGGAGGTACAATTTGGTAGTCTATAATTATCGTTAGACCTACGCAGAGGATACACTTTACTGAGGGTGTCTATTTGAGTACATGCTTACATTAGTTTTATTTTAGGACCGCATTTGTTAAGTGTTTTCTCCACTTGTGTTTTGTTGTCGTATTAATGGGTTACAGATCTCTGCTTACACCAGTGCAGTCATAACTTGTCTACTTTATGTGATTTCTTTAGAGTTCGGTGTTGTTACATGAGTGAATGGGTACAATAATCTATTTATGTTTAAACATTCTGCAAGGGGCCGAAGGTGGCATTGTTTTGTATTTTGATTCTTGTGAACCTTTTTGTGTACATTTTCTTTATAGCTATAATTACAAGTACAGATAATCATTTACAGTCAATTACAGTGGGTACGGAAGTGCTATCGTTTGCAGTCTTCGTGCTACTTTAATTCTTCTTATGGCATAGATTATTAATATTATCATTATTATGATTCCGATAATCAAGGCCGCATGTCCAGATACATGATGGAACTTAAGTCCTTTTAAGTCATGATGACCTTCTTTTAACAATTTTATTTCGTTTCTTAACTTATCCATTTCTTCTGTATGGTTAATTAATGGTTAATGGATTCCAAACAATTTTTGG